AATATTATGCTTAGATGTTAGAGAGTTACAAACAATTATCATTTGAAAAATATGTTATTTCTGTTTTTAAAGAAATTTTGTGGTGAATCTTATACGAAAATGATTATCTTTGGATTCTATGTAGATGTTGAAGAATTTTAAGATATTATTTTAATCTAAAGATTTTCACAATATTCCTAAATAAAGATTTTTAATTGATTGTCTTTCTTTAAAATGAAGGGATTTATTAAATCTTAAATAAAAAAAAAAACCATTTTCATCCAAAACTATAGATAGCACATGATTAATTGATACCAATTTATAGGCGTTATATGTGTATTAATCTTTCGTCACTCGTAACCGACTTACGAACCCAATCCTATTTCGTAGATCAAATTATTTTTATAATAAACTTTAATCTATTTTATTGTTTTATTAAAAAGATAAAAATTTTTAGATGATCAATCACACCTTAAAAAAAATTGATAGCGACTTTCTATCTTTTTCTCGATTTTAAATAATTATATTTAGTGATAAAGTTTTTGTGAAAGCACTGATATGTTATGACAGCACTTCAAAACAGAATGTCCTTCAAGCTTTAGATCAGCCCTGATGATTATTATCAAAACCGAAGTAAAACTTAGCCATACTTGCATTTAGGGATGGGAATTCAACTCGACCCCGACGGGTTCCGACCCGACCCGACCCTATGAGGTCAATTTTTATTTTGAATTTCAGGTTTCGGGTCGAGTAATATTAAGAAATATTTGGGACGGTCGGGGTTCGGGTTCGGTTTTTAGGCATAACCGACCCGATATTATTAAAAAATTATTTTTAATTAATTTTTAATTTTTTAATTATATATATTATATAATGATATTTTTAAATATTATATTTAAAAAATAATATTTATATTTTAAAAAATAATATTTTATTAATTTCGGGTTGGGTACAGTTTACATAGTATCGAGTCAGGTCGGGTTCGGGTATGAAAAACAAAAACTTTTGGGTAAGGTCAGGATCAGGTTTATTAATGCATAAAGTCGAGTCGGGTTCGAAGCAAGCAAAACCCACCCCGAACCCGACCCGATGCTAACCCTACTTGCATTACTACTAACGTACAAATTAAATGCATTCACTTCAGATACAGGTAAATAACTTTAAAATGTCATAAACATGATTTCCAGCAAACTAATTGTGGATGATTGTGGACAATGTATATGAATTAAAACTAGTTCCAAGTTGTGCATTAAAGTAGTAGATTATGATACCCCAAATCATTCACAACAAGAAAAGAGGATCATATAACGTCAAATCCTGCTATAGTTAAGGTTTTTGCTGCAGTCTAAAGCTCTTGAATTTGCTAAGGATAAAGGGTTTAATTACAAGCATAGTACTTGAAGGGTTGCACATGTTTTAGCACAGCATGCACTTTGCATTGCAAAAGATGTGACATGGATAGAAGAATACCCAGAGAGTATTAGAAACATTATCACTGCTGATTGTAACTCCATTCATTAGTAACAAAAGTTCTTATTCAATTAAAGAAAAGAAAAGAAAGGGGTCCATACATATATATATATATATATATAAATTCTATATGATCTAATAAAAATGTCAAATTAATAAACGACCCTGAACAAGGGAATTATCAATTTATAATTAATTCATCTTCTTGTCAATTCGATCATCATAAACAAATTAATAAACGACCCGGCCATGCATACAATGAACTATATATTCAAGTGTTGCTAATTATGTAATTCTTCCCTACTAATATTCCACCATGATTACTCTGAAAAACAAAGTTACAAAGAGCTCAATTAGTTCATACAGTTGGAAAGATAACATGGTATCTTGATTTATTTGAGTTGCTGCTGTCAGAATTGAAATCCTTAGCAGTTACATTCACATTACTAAATCACAAATAGGTAAATCTCTTATGATTTATTATGATTATCTGCCAATACAGAGTATTCAAACTGAAACAAAATTTTCATGAAACAAAAAACATAATTTTGGACACTAATTTTGAAACTTCAAGAATAATTAAAGTGAAATAGAGTATGCTGTCATATTTTCATGCATACTTCTAATAAATTAACCTGCAAGGAAATGTGGTTGTCCTTGGGATTGATTTTCTTTTTCTTTGGCATGTTATCTGGATTCTCGGATTGCAGAAGATGAACCCCAATCCCATATCCAAACAATCTGTATAACAAAAATATCCACACAAATATAATCATAACCTGAAAAAAATGAAAATCAACCCAAGATTTCTTGCACTTTTCAGCATAATATTTTCAGCGGAAATTTCTTGAAACAGATTAAGATTGACAAGATGATCATTTTTTTTTCATTACCATGCTCCATCAAAGTCAAATGATTCAGGCCTCCTGATTGGAACAAACCCAAGAATATTCTGATAGAAATCCATGGATTCCTCAACTGATCTGCACACAAGGGAGATGTGGTTCAAAGATTTCAGGTGAAGAGGGTTTTCCACACTTTCTTTCATCTTCTTTTTTCCAAGAAAAAAAAAATATTTGAGCCACCTCGAAAGACAAACACACCAAGGAAGCTAGATGAAGATTTGTAATAGAGAGAATATAACTTAGAAAAACAGATAGATGTGAGAACCAGAGATCTGTTATTTGACAAACCAAAGAAATTAAACAAGGGATTCTGTAACTGAAGAAATGAAGGAGAGAAAGTCACGAAACTCCGCTTAGGGAAGCAAAAGAATTGGGCTTTATATATAGAGTGAAAGACTAAAGAGCCAATGGCAGCTCTTCATGCAAGCCACGTGTCCTATAAGAAGGATTACCGTGACACGGAGACACCACGTGCTGACTAGGATTATCACCGAGAACCAAAAAGATTCTGGTCATAGACACGTAAGCAGTTGAATTTTTTTTTCTATGGGTTCTCGTCGGACTTGATGGGTGCCTTTGTTAAGTGTTTTTTTCTACAAAATTTGTTGGGTTTCATTTTTTCTTAATAATATATGATTTATTTTATAAAATAAATAATATATAAATAAATTAAAAAACAACCATATGGTTTTCGCACGTCATATTTTCTTTTTTTTTTTTTTAAACTATTGATTCTTAAATTTTTTTAATGCTAATTCATTTAAATTACAAAGTTTTTTAGATGATATATCATGCCATGTGACAATTGATATCGTACTTGATGTTGATATTTTATTATAGAATAATGATAAAGTGGCTGAAATTTAAAAGAAAATCCAAAAGTTGGTGATTAATTAGTTACATTTCATGGTTAGATGATGGAAATAAAAAAAAAATCTAAGTTGGTTAAATCATCTTATAATTTATTCTAATTATAATAAAGAAATAATGACAGTAGAGATAAAATAAGGAAAATATTGAAAAATATATATATATATGATTGCTGACCGAAAATAAGATTGCTCCGCCATAGTAGTGGGATTGCTCTCTAATCTCTCTACAAAGGGTTAAGAAAAGCTGTAAAATTCCTCCACCACAGAAAAATACTACCAAGCACATTAAGCAAAACAATTGTGGCAATGTTTCAAGCCTAAACCACTTACGGCCTTCTCTTTTTCGGCTAAGGACCGAATTTTTCAGCAGGGGCAGATTTACCTTTTAGTGACATCCAATTGGAAAATAAAAGAATTTGAAGGAGAAATTTTTACCTAATATCCCCAAATTTTTTTATAAATACTTTTTTCGTGATAAGATTGACACATTTGTCGACAATTTTATATATATTACAAATGAACACCCAAAAAAATTTTGGATTTGCTGCTGTTTCAAGGAAGAGAGTGTAGGGCTGTAGGAAACTCAGTTGTTTTCCCATCCAGAATCTCATTCAGTGAAGATTCAGGTGCTGAATCCTTTACTAATTCTTCTAATTAAAACCTTCTTGGAGCCTTAAAATGCACTTCATAGAAGAAACAACCTCAATTTTCTTTAATCATTTAAAGAGCATTTGATTCGAAGTAATTTTTTTCTCAAAATTTTATTTTTTGTAATTTGATATTTGGTATGATTTATGAAATTATAATTTATAAAATTTTTTTAAGATTTTCAACAATGTCCAAAAAGTGAAAAAATAGGAGAAAGTAAAAAACTCTCACTCTTCATAAAATTTTTTTAAGAATTCAAAGCGTATTAATAAAAATAAACGTTTATTAAAATAAAAACATGAATTTTATTAAAAAATATAAAAGATTCTTATTTTTCAAATTTAACAAAAACGATGCTTAAAATAAAAACTATAATCTTTATTAAAAATGCAAATTTTTAAGATAAAATACAATCTCTGTGTAAACATAAAAAAAAATATTTTTTAAAATTTAACAAAAATAATATTTCATAGATAAAATATGTAACATTTATTGAAAAGCCGATGTTTTTACAATAAAAAAATATTTTTTATTAAAAATATAAAAAATATATTTTTTTAAAATTCAACAAATATAACTTTTCTAAAATAAAAAATACAATCTTGGTTGAAAATATGAAATACATAGTTTTCAAAATTCAATAAAGACATAAATTTTTAAAATAAAACATAACTTTGTTGAAAAAAAACGACGTTTTTAAAATAAAAAAAATAATTTTTATTAAAAACATAAAAAATATATATTTTAAAATTTAATAAAGACAACGTTTCTAAGATAAAAATATAATATTGTTGAAAAAACATCTTTTCTAAAGTAAAAAACATAATCTTTGTTCAAAATAATAAAATATAAATATAAAATATTTTTATTTAATATTATTATATATAAAATTTAAAATATGTTTATTTAATATTATTATACAAAATTTTTCCCAAGAGCCAAAGAAAAATTTATCACCCCCTTCCAACCCTCATATTGACCTTATCACGAAAGTCAATCTGCATATTTTCTCTATAAAAGGATAATAATGTTAAGATAATAATTAAAATTATAAAATTATATTTGTTGAAAATTTTAAAAATTATTTAGTTTTAATGAAAATGTGTTATTCACATTCCACGTATTATTCAAGTATCAATATTATGAATGTCACATGTTATTCATTTATTATCAAAAACAATATAATAAAAAACTTTATTAGGTAATTTTACATTATTGTGAACCACATACAAAAATCTTATATCATCTAAGTCAACAAAACTCAAGAACCACACATTCTTCTTCAATATCACTTTTTCTTTGAATTATTTTTTTTCCGGAATCTAAGAATCTGCGAACCAAACTCCTTCAACGGCCAACAGAAAACATCATTAGAGAATGCCTCCAAGTGCACCTTCCAATCCTGCACAATACAAAAGGTACCAATGATCTTAAAATTAAAAAAAAAAATGTCGTGTCTAGTGGCATCATAAAAAACTTCCACGAGAAATATAATTAAATCTTAGTTGCTCTGTTATGCATCTTTCTTTAGAAAAGAGTGATACCACTTAACCAAGCAGAACCGGCCACTTAACCCAAAATGATAAAATATGGGAAACTCACTGATTTAGCGTCCAATCAGTATTTAATTAGAAAGAGTTTTCCATCTTTCCGTGGCCATTCTATTCATCATTCAAGCTGAAACATTTGGTAAAGTCATAGGCCTCAGAATCCAAGCATCAACACATCAAAACTTGGAATTTTGCTCAGGTAATTTATCATATACAGAACAGAATATTTTTAGCCCATTAAGAACCAATATGAAAAATGACATATGAAAACATGCATTAGCAGGCACAGAATACAAAAATTATGGTTCATAAAATTTAAAACCTAACATAATGAATTGCCAATGCTGTGTTGACAATGTTCAAAAGCATAGCTCTAAGAAACAAAGATAACAATTCATGTTTATGGACCATCAAATACCATTCGCATGCTTCATGGATAGACAAGAGGAATTGCGATTGCAAAACAGTTTAACAAGCATCTTTCATTGTACAAAAAGAAAATAGAAGTTGCAATCAAAGGAGCTCCATATGCAAAGAACAACATATATCAATAGAGAGACAGAGAGACAGAGTAATTGCATGATGACTTACAAGAATTTGGATTTCTGCTATCCAATAGATTTCTCTTTCATCATGGACATATAGAGGTGGCACAACAAATTAATTCAAGAAAAATGAAATCTGCCTTCACTTTGATGTTAACCATAAAAATCAATCTCCAATTAGTTTTGTGAAACTAAAACTGCTTGGAGCAAAAGAAATATCAGCTTCCTTTAAGCAGTGGTTTTACATTAATCAAAGTGGTCCTTTTTCAATCTGTCATTTTAATTTAAGTCTTCGACAAAACTGATTGCAAAGAATCCAATTGAGCGGAGGAAAAAGGTGGTATCCGATTCCTAACCAATATCATTATCATCTTAGCCTTACCCAGTTGCCCATTTTTCATTAGGCCTTGAAGCAGTGAATAAATAGTATCCACATTTGGAAACCAATTCTTTCTCATGCATCCTTTACACATTGTATAGGCCAAATTATAATCCCCTCCCTTGCAGAGATAATGAATCATCGTCTGATGAATCTTAGCATTAGGCTTATACTCACTACGACATTCTAGAGCAGAATAAACCCTTTTAGCCATTTCAAAATAACCAGCCTGGCAAAAACCTTTGATTACCAAATTGTAAGTAACCTCATCAGGGTCTATCCCAATTTTCTGCATCAAACGCATCACATCATTAGCTTGCCATGCTTGCCTCCTATTAATCAAATACTGGATCCTAACATTAAAAGTTGCAAGATTAGGTCTGCACCCCTTAAACACCATAAGATTCCACAACCCGTTGCCAATCTCACACCGATTTTTCTGATAGGAAGCTGATATAAGTGTTGTGTACGTAATGACATCTGGCTTTATCCCCAACTTTTCCATCTGTACCATGACCAAATATGCTCTATCCAGAAAATCCATTTCGCAAAATGCCTTGATAACTATATTGATTGTATATGTATCCAATTCAACATCAAATTTTGGTGGAACATCGGAGAGAAATGCCTCGATAGCTCTTAAATCATGAGTTTGAATCAAAACCTTAAGTGCAGCATTGAAGGATTTAACAGTTCTTTTACATCCATACAAATGCATATCATAAAAAGTATCAATAGCATGCTTTATCATCCCAGCGTTACCATACAACATTATAATCCTCATAATGAAGCCTTCACGTCTACCCTGTGGAAGAGTTTTCTGGTGCTCAAGTAAATGCTCAATTAGATCAAATCGGCGAGCTCCAGCTAAACGAGAAACTGTATCTTCAAAAGCAAACCTATTTTCAATGACAAGTTTATTGTGGGCATTAGCCTTGAATAAAGCAAATAGCTTATCAGGGTCTCTTTCATCTTTAAGCTTGGAAAGGGCACTTTCTTGTAAAGGTATTGTCTTTGGTGGTTGCTTTGAGAAAGCTGCACAAGTATCAGTTGTTGATGCAATGGCAGCAGGAGCAGAAGCAGCACGATAAAATCTGCGAATTGGTCGCAGAGATAACATGTTCTGATATCTTCTCATCCATATGACACCAATGTATCAAAATCTTGTTCATCCATTTAACAACAAGGAGAATCCCAGAAACATGAACCCGGCCAATGAACAATAACTCTATAAGGACTTTCATCAAATAGAATCATACCCAGGTATCAAAACCCTTTATTCAAGGCACCATCATCAAAAAAATCCTCAAAAATAATACCCAGATATTGATAATAGAATCAAATACACTATCTTGAATAAAATGAAGAACCCAGAAACAAGAACACCCAGAAACACAGATTAACAGGCGCTAATTACATCAAGATGAAAAAAAAAAATCCTTTGATCAAAAGTCAAGAGCACGAACAAATGTTTACCGAAAAAATTAGAAGGGATCTGAAAGAAAGCTCATCATTGCTCTCCGCTGGTTATGGTGGTTGTTGTTGTAGGCTTCGAGGAAGGGTTTATGGGGTTTAGATTTTGCCGTTTTGGTTGGGGAAACGATTTTGTTTTAGTCCTTGAGAGTAAACTCCGGGGGAGGCTGTTTATGGGCGCATTGGTTTAAAGGATCTGAATCCAGAGCCGTGGCTAAACATGGGCCTGAAACAAACAAAATTTAAAACTTCACCAATAAATTAGATTTTGTTGGCCAGCTTTTAGCATATGATTAATTTTTTTTAAAGAAAAATAAATACACGATGAAAAATTATCCTTAATCAAAAATTATCTTCGATATATTTATGAATATTATAAATTAATTAATCAATAAATTAACTCATGTGAATTTCTTAATTTTGTTTGTCGAGTTTAAAATTTCCTCAACCAATGTATAGAAATAATTAATTAATATTTTATTTTATTATTAAATAAAACGTATATTAGTTAATAATATGCATATTAAAATATTTCATATTCTACTTTTTTATTATTATTAAATTATTCAAAAAATATTTTTCTTATAGAAATTAAAAGTGACTTTCATATATACCCAAACGGTATTAGATATACAAATTGCTGCACCAAATGGCTCTCCAATTCATGGATCCAAGAATGTTTTGTCAAACTGATCATTCAGTAGAAGGTTGTGCTTCCCAGTTTTCAAGTTGGACGATAGCAATATTTTTCCCATTCACCTTGGAGCATTCATCAAAGAATGTCCAAAGATCATGCATGGATCTATGATACAGCCTTTTTTTCTGCCCCCAAGTTTTCAGATCAATCTTTAATTCAGTCAGAAACATGGGAGCCATAGCTAAAAACACCATATATAAATAGAAACTAAAACCAGAGTTGCTGATGCCTGCTTCCCTGTCATTCTTTCTGCCTTAAATTATCAAATCATAACAAAGTATTCTGTTCTCAGTATACAAAAGCCAGGAATGACCAACACAAAAGAGAGAGTAGATGCAGTTGGCAATTGTAGAAGGATCCCCTTGGAGTTTGACCAGGCCTTAAATTTGCATCAGCTGTCAGTCTTTGGAAGTTATAACAAGCAACCCCAATGCCCCGATGAGAATATACTGCAATGAACAAACAATATAAAGTTTTTATGAAGAAAAAGATATTCTATGAGATGATCATTAATGTCCCCGCATGTTAGTAATTTTGGTATCTTTGAAAATGTTCCAAAATCATAAACAATGGATATTTAACCCAGCCACCCCTCCGCCACAATGTCTGATATAAATAAGAGTGAGACCAAGGCAATTTGAATGAAAGGGGTAACTGTTTTTTGTTCGTGGTGCAACAGTAATGCAAAGATGCAGAATGCAAAAGGGAAAATCCCCAAGTTACAAGTAAACCTCATATAATTGTAGTCATAGTCATGACTCAAAAAATGTTCTTTAGCACACAAGGAAAATAGCTTTCTGGTTTAAGCAAAACCATGTCATATAGAAAACGAACCTTGATAATTGGCTTTTCAGTCATGATTATAGTCACCCAACCAACATAGGGCAAGAACCTGCAATTAAAGTAAGCAATTAGAAGTTTCATTTTTTTTTTTTTTTGAGAAAACGGTACACTGCTTGAAGCATATGAGATTATCTAATTGTGCAGTACAAAAACCCTCAGGCTAGCAAGATCTTTCCCATAACTCCCAAAAGCCTATATAAAGTCACAACAACACCAACACCATTAAGGATGAAAAGGCCAATTGACACATACTAATATCTGAAACTTGGATCAAGTCTTTCCCAGAGAATAAAACATCATGTTCATGGACTGACATTTATCACTAGTAGCTAACATGCTTTCCAATCCAGACACTTGAGAGAAATCAAACTCCATTGCCCATTTTTACCTTGCCCCCAAAAGAAAGCCATTTCCTTAAGGAGGAGCAAATTCTCCTCTAGAATCCACAATTCCTCTCCTAACACTAAAATTGACCTCCTAGTATCCAATTTAGAGGGTGGTATTGCACATAGAAACACTACTGATTCAAATTGTAAAGAAAAGTAATACTAGTAATTCACAAACCTTTGCCCCAAAATGCCCTATGTCCATAAAAAGCATGTGTATGAGTGTGTGTGTGTGAATTCTTCAGACATGCTATGAATTTTGAAGATGGCAACACAGAATCACCAATCATCTGGCAACTCGTTGTACACAAAAAGAAAGGTTGAAATGCTACAGGCTTTACCCCACAGCTCTGCCCATGATATGCTGCCGTTGAAGCCAATGCTGACCTTGAGCATATAAAAGCCTGTCATCCCCAGGATTGTTGTCTCCTGAAAATGCACAGATAAGAGAAGAACATTTAAATACCAAACAATGCAATTCTGACAATTTAACAAATTTAATGTTTATTAAAATAAGCTGCTACCTTTGGTGAGGACATCAACTTCTCCAGTATCTTGTCTTTCATGGACCTACAATAATATAAAATATCAGAATTCATCAGATGCCAGGACCATGTTCATTGATCAATCTGCTAAAATAACAAAATAGAGTTCTTTTCTCATATAGTTTCAAAATAAAGATGGTGTAGAAGCTTTGTCAGGCATAAAACAGTTTTAAGAAAACAAAAGTTCCAAGAAACACTAGGTCATGGAAGTCAAGAATGGACATTATATTGACCAGCTAGCTCCGATGCAAAGATCCACAAGGAAGCATTAGCCCCGAGTAATATTTTGAAACATAATTGTGGCAAGCTATAACAGCAAGCAAAATCTCACACCATAAAAATTTTGACAAATCATAATTCCACAAAATAGAAATGTAATTTTAGGAGTGATTGCATCTTGATGATAATACATAACAAAGTTGGGGAAAAAATAGTATAATTCATGAAGGAAACAAGAATACAAACAATTTACCTCACAAATACATCAGAAACATATGAATCCCAAAGAAAAAAAACAAAGAAACCGAAAAAGATACAGAAAAAACAAAAAAAAGTTCAACAAAAATCAATGAGTTCAGATTTGCATGTGCTGCTGCAATATTATGATACAATCACCATGTTTTCAGTGAGTATTCCAGTTACTGCAATTTGATACTTGCATATAGAATAAGTGATCTCAAATTATTATTATCTTTCTAAGACAGCCCTCCTGACAATTCGGACACTCATTAACAGCTGCCCCTAGAAAGCAGATAGAAGCTTGGTTGCCAATGCTTTCTCATTCTCTGTGCCCTTTAAGTTTTATCTATGCAAATTAGCTTCCGAAATCATTATCCTCAGACCATGTCATTTGCAACAAAAATCAGTCATCTAGTATCTATGACTAATCAATTTATCAATCATGAAGCAGTTGCTTGAGCAAATATATGTTCCCCACAAACTAACTCTTCCATGGAAACATATGCTTGTAAGCACAAAATGCACGAAAGCAGATATCAAATTATCAAATTACGATTTGGTGCTCCCATTCAATGGCAAGTGAAAATATCAGTTGCCGGTATGCATGAATCCCCAGATGTAGATGGTAACTTCAGTGCTTCAAAATCACTTGAAAATCACTTTTTCAGTCATAATACATACACCATACTCCAAGATCAATAAAACATGAGGATTAATTTATTAGAATTCTTACCTTAATTACACGATGGACAATAGGGATTTCACGGCCCTGAGAAATTCATAGTTTGAGGAATGAATTAGCAAAAGAGAATGAAGGCAAAAAAAGCCGCACCAACAATCAAAAATACAAACATACAAAAACAAAGGCACTTACATCAACATTAAAAACAACAATCTCCCCTGCACGGATAGGTTCTTTACTCATGTGCAGGAACAAAATATCCCCCTGCAAATGATATAATCCTCATTAATTAAGACACAGAATCCAAACGAACAAAAATCATCAAACATGTCAAGTATGCTCATGGAAGCGATTGTATAACAAAATAACTTTCATTGTGATCTTATTACACGTCCAAAGCAACTCATATCAAATCAAATCGAATGTTTATTGGCAGATTGCTAACAATAACTAGCAGACTGCAGTTGCCACCAACCAAGTATACTCTTGCTTGCCCTAATTTAAGGTAAGATAAAAACAGGAGTGGATAGACATTGCCATGATAAGGACAGCATGCAAGGAAAGGCAAAAACTGATATGGATTTCAATGAAAAATAGCTGTAAGCAAACATAAGTGATGCATGTTATTACTCAAAGCTTTAAGGTACATAACATACTTAGCTCAGAATATATTCTAGAAAAAATAATAAATATATAAGGTGTAAGGTGGCGGAGTCAACAATCTCTTTGTCCTTTATTTGTAAAGGTTAGAATTTCAAAGCCATAAAATCTTCATTTTCAAAAAATCTTATGTTTCTTTCTAAAATAACTGGGTATAATCTTAACTTCTCCAAAAGAGAAGATAGGGGAATACCAGAGATGCTAATCTGAAGGACATGTTTCCATCTGACCGAATGGTCTTATAAAGAAAAATTGTATGGATGCAAACTCTCAGTAGCATAATTTCAAAGGAAAAAATAGCTCTGAAAATAAACAATCCTAGCACATAGAAGAATAGCATATCAATGTAGACACCTAATTTTGTCCATGCACATTCTAGTCAATTGCGATGCTCTAAAAGTTAGGACTTATGTCTTGACCAAGATTTTTTAAGATCTTTCGAATATTTCAAGATTTTTGAATAAGTTGATTTTTAGAGAGATGCAAGAAAAACAACAAAAAGTCAAGGTAAAAAATCAAAAGCCAACTTAAAGTTAACTTAGATAAACTTGTCTGAAATTAATTGATTTTGGTTGAAAGAGGGTCAAATTTTGGCATTTTAGTGGAATCAAACAACGTCATTGAGCTCCTAAAGGCTCTAAAACAAATTTTGAGTTTTGAGCAAAAATGAAAAAAATAACCAAAATACCCCTGATAACGCCTCAAGTCAAAATTAGTCAAGATCAGCCAAGATTACTTGGAATTGGACAATTTTTGTCAAAGCACAATCTTTAGAAAGAAATTCCGTTTAAAAGAAACAGAATTTTGAATACATTTGCCCAAAATGCCCCTTGATCAAATTTGGTCACACTTGATCAAGTCTAGATCAACCTTTATAGTTTGTGATTGACTAGGACCATAAAGGCTCATTAGGAATAAAATTATGATTTGGATTCTTAAAAATCC